TATATATATATGTGTGTGTATAAATGCTTAGTTAAATAATAACTATCATATTATAAAATATATGCTGACATGCCTCAATGTCTGGGAGTCCTGAAGTTTACGGAAACGATATGGGTTAGACTTGCACATTGACAGAAAGCGATGGTATGGTCGGCTGTCGGNNGGATGTAGTTCTGAGTCCAGGCTGTGCGCGTCAAGGTGTCGCGGGTGCATCCGTACCCTGTGGCTGGGCGAGGCAGGAGGTTGTTCCTGTATAAGGCACGACAGTGGAGCCTAAAGCATCACTAGAAGCGCAGCTTACCCGCGACACAACTCGTTAGACTTGCACATTGCACAAAGCGATGGTATGGTCGGCTGTCGGATGTAGTTCTGAGTCCAGGCTGTGTGCGGCAAGGTGTCGCGGGTGCATCCGTACCCTGTGGCTGTACCATATTGACTGTTTAGTAGATGTTCAACCATGACGCGGTCCGTTATTGTCGATCAACAGAGCGACTTTCAGAGTATAATCATGGAATGCTTCTTGCCTCATCGCCCTGTGGCTTAGGTTGAGCTATGTTATTGAAGCTTGTAAGAACTCCTTGGCTTCCGGCCGGGGCTGAAGCCGCTCAGCGGCGCCTGTGATCGGGGCGATGTATCTCATGGCTGCTGGTACTCTAAAGCTTTGGAGAGATAAGGTCCCTCGTCTCCCATTTGCCTTTCGATTTTTACTTGGGATTTGTCTCTCGATGCATTAGCAATCTCCAAGTAACTATCCGTTACACTGACATCAACGAACAGCAGGCATGAACTGAATCTGGCACGCACGCACATGTTGCTTTTGCGGTCCTTGCCGAAGGCTGCTAGTGTCTGTTTTTAACGCCCGCCGTTCGCAGGCTATGCAATCGTCGCACCGAAAGCGGAGTCCTTTTTTTGGACTTATTGGGGGATCTACTTGACGTACTTGGCCTCTTCATGTGCCACTTTTTTACAAACGAAGCTTCCTTCTGGCGCATGCCAGCGAGCGGCAGGGAGGCCTTGCATTGCGGCCGCTGGCCCTGCTGCTCCTGGCACCACTCCTGCCATTCATTATCCGTCCAGAGCGACTGGTGCAGCGATCTTCCCAGAAGCATGGTCTCTGTGACCAAATGTGACATCGGATGCTGCGTGGCCAAGTAATGTCCCATAAGCTTTATAAACCTGAAGTACCGCAGCTTCATCTCCAGGGTAGATCGATGCAGAGCGTTCGTGCTTCGGGACCACGAGTTGATCTCCGCGTGCAATTCCTCGTTGCTGGAGGTGCCGCTTGGAAGGAAGCACCTGTATGAGTCCGGCATGAGCCGCCTGATCCGCTGATTATTGAAGAGCCATTCGAGCCTGTCTGGAGCGCAGACAGCCCACAGGATTCTGTTTATCTCCTTGTTGGGACCGGGCGCTTTGCGAGTCACTTCCCTGCTGTATTTGGAGCAAATGGCAGCAATGCCTTTGATGAAGTCTAGACGCTCATGAAAAGGCTCGTCTGCATCAATCTGACGCAGGATAGAGCTGGCCTCGTGTTGCGGCATGGACAGATGCAAGACCATGTCTCGGTATCTGTTCTCTTGCTGGTTGAGTGGTCGTGACATATCACCATCATAGCACATGCCCCAGTCCTCTGCAGTCTGACCGGCCCTTCGTGCTGTGCTTTTTCGTAGGAGACGTCTGAGTTGTTTGGAGCCAGGGCTTTTTTTGTTCCAAAACCCGTACTCATATACAATCGCTAAATGCACAGGGTCCAACATCATGCCTTCCAGCTTAGGGCATACGACGAGGAGGTCCTTGTAGAATTTGCCGGACGGGCTATCGGTCGCGACCCAGCGAATTGAAGTTGTCATGCGGAGCGGCGACCATCTGACTTTTCTGACTGCAGCGGATGGATGAGTAGCACGGCTCCGGACTTCCAGCGAACTGTTAAGAGACGCCTCCAAGCGAGGCCATCTCCAAACGGCACCGCCTCCCTTGCCTCGCGAGGAGCCCTGTAAGATTCTTGTCCGTGCAGCTTCAGGCACAGCTTGATGGTAGCGTCCATGCTGATATAGGACCACTCATCACTGGCCTCTAAAACAATGGTCATGTGCTGCATCTTGGATTGGAATATGACCCCCCCCCAGCCCCTCCCCCCATATTTAACTTATTTTAAACAATTTAAACAATTTGAATATTTACATTGTTTAAATTGTTTAAATTATTTAAAGGGGCCCGGGGGATTTAAACAATTTAAACAATTGAAATATGTAAATTGTTTAAACTGTTTAAATCCCCGGGGCCCCTTTAAATCATTTAAACAAGTAATTCCTTACAGTAGAGAAACCCAGAACGGTTAAATAGACCCGACAAGTAGCACTCTCACATATATATATATATGTACAGTGTAGAAACAATGCATACAAATAAATACATAGATCTTCATGTATGTAGGTATATACATATATATATATATGTAAATATATATATATATATTTATTTATTTATTTACATATGCACATACATATATATATATGCATACTGAGGGTTTTTGCATACACATGGAGGAGCCGGGTTCAGAGTTGCGTTTCGGACACAGCTTCTCTTGACGGGCTCGAACCATCTCGAACCGTTTGTCGGATCCTAGCCGTGTCACGCACAAGCCACAACGGGCCAGTAACGCCTGAAATCGCAAAGACAAACCGGCTCGGAGCACTCGCTCGTCCTAGTTGTTCATGAGGTGGCCGCCAACTTCCAGCTTTGGTCGGCCCAGGAGTCAACATGCCAACACAACGTGTTGCTTCGAGGCCGCATGTTCGAAATGCCCCGGACAACCCGATGCGTAATCACAGCACAGTGCTTGCTCCTGTGCGCTCTTCGACTTCTGCAAAAGCCACGATACCAGGTACTGCACTCGCTGTGGCTCAGGATCGGATGTGGCCAGAATATGGAACAGAACTAGAAACTCTCGAAAGACTTGCCCAACTTCGATATATCAATCGCAAGAATGCCCTTGATCCAGTTCCACAGCCGAGGCGCCGCGGTTCGCTGTCCCCGGGCCAAAAATTAGGATTCAGCTCCATGGCCTTTTTCAAGGCGCAAGGCGTAAGGGTTTAGGCTTCGGAGTCGGGCATTTCTTTCGGGTTAAACCGGGGCTCCAAAGCTTCGGCCAAGACAGCCACGACGATGCCCCCTGCTGAATTCCTGCTTCGACCACCAATGCGCCATTGGGCCATCACTACCAGCACCACACGGCCGACGACCATGAGGACTACGACGACGACGGTGAGGAGGATTTTGTCTGCAGCTACTTCTGCTGCCACTACTACTACCACCTACCTACCTACCTACCTACCTACCTACCTACCTACCTACCTACCTACCTACGTACTACCTACTTACCTACCTACCACTCCAACTCCACTCGTCCTACTCCTCCTCCTCCTCCTCCTACTACTACTACTACTACTACTACCACAACCACCACCACCACTACTACTACCACCACCACCACCACCACCACCACCACCACTACTACTACTACTGCTGTACTGCTACTGCTACTGCTACTGCTACTGCTACTGCTACTGCTACTCCTACGCGCTCCTAGTCCTGCGCCTGCACCTACGCCTACGCCTACTCCTCCCAGTCCCAGTCGCAGTCTCCTTGTCTTACTCATGCTCCTTCGACTATTGCTGCTCCACCTGCGTCCTGCTAATGCTGCAGCGTCTGTTCCTGCTACTGTCGCTTCTGTTCTTGCCTGCGGCTGCTACTGTGAGCATTGCTGGTGCGGTCAAGCCACAGGCGCATCGACAATGCGAGAGCCTGCACAGAGCAAATTCAGAACTCCATCCGCCACGACTGGAGTAACAGAGGCCTGGGATGCTCTTCAGCAAGCTCTGCAGGCCCAGAAAGATGCCTCGTCAACGATTTGACTGCGACATGGAATAGCGGCTAGCCAATGGATCTTCGCACATAAAAGCGTGCCGGGAAAGCCGATGCTTACGGGACCTTGCCATCCATCGCCTTGAGGGAAAGGGTGGAATATGTCATCCACGCAAGGTGCCGTGCGTTGCCAGGACTTCACGCCTGCTCCAGTAAAACCAAAGCCGCAGGTGACATACCTGCCACTGCACACGGCTCGTAATCCGACTGACCAGAGATCAAGCAAAAGCATGCCGAAGGCACAGCAGCCGAAGGGGTCGCTGAGTCGGCCACAACCCAATGCTCCGCAAGACCTTGATGACTGCTTCCCTCTGAAACATGTCTCAAGACCGTACAATGCGGCACACTAAACTAGACCCGAAATACCCTAAACCCCAAAACCTCTTTCATTGGGAAGCTGGCACGCGCCGCCATCGACTCGACAGACAAGCACCTCAGCTCTCAGAGCTTCTCGGCCCAGCTTCGCAGTTTGAGGCGCTACCAAGGCGCAGAGGGCCTCCTTTGATAAATCACACTCTGGAGCCCCGAAGCCCCCGTCCCCTGAAACCGTGACGTTCAACACAAACCCGGGAGCCATGGAAGGTGACAAAAAGCTGAAGCCTGCTGGCCTCCGTGTGTGGTCCAGGAGCCTCTCCACCGTTGCCTCAGCTGCCCGTTGCAGCTAGATGATGCTCGATGCTCGCAGCATCGAGCAGATTTCGGGACACTCCGATGTGTGATGTGGCAAGGCCATGGCATTGTAGACAGCCTCCAAGCGCAAAGAGAAAGGGAGGAGCCTTACCAGAGCACAGTTTTCAGAAGTCACAGGCTTGCCAAGTGTGGTCCAGGGTCCGCACTGGCGCTTTGCCTTCAGCAGCAAGGACTTGGGCACGAATGGCACCGCTAGGGGAGGTGCCTGCTCAGTGCAGCGAAGCCCTTGGAGCCACGCCGGTTCTGAGTGCCTGGGCCAGGCCGGTGAAGTTCGGTACCTCTGGCTGAATCGAAAAACGAGACATCCAGCCATGGGGAACTGTCAGAACAGAAAACACCATACAGGCCGTCCAGCAGCCGGGCTGTGAGCCCCAGGCTGTGCCCACGGCAAGGATCTCAGCATGCCTCGTGGCCTTGCAAATGGGGGCGGCTCCACCAGGTCAGAGACTTCACACAGGACTGCCACAAAGAGTGCGACATCCCGCGAGCACCCGACATCCCAGCCACCTTTCTTCTTCGTATGGGCAAACCGATGGCGGCGATAGAATTCGTGATACCTACTGGGCCGTGACAGCACCAACGACCCAAGCATGCCTAGTCTCCTGCCTTCGTTCATCCATGGGTCCGAATTTGTATTCCTTCACCTCAAGGCGACAATCCAGACACAGCTCAGAAGATCTCGGAAGGCTGTTGAGGCGTTGGCCTCCCCACCGGCTCTGCTTCCAACGAACCCGGCGGTCAGTCGGGTCTGACGTCACGGAACGCTCGGAAAGACTCAGAAAGCTCTGGCCCGGAAAAGGTTAGAGTGCCTTTCTCGGAACGGACTTCGCTATCATGTCCGATGGTACCTCAGAACCGAGCGACTCTGGAAGTGGGCTGTTTCTTACGACGACAGGTTTGGACAACGAGCTCGGTGCTGCTATGCCAATTGGAAAGATAGGCGTGTCCTGGCACAATGACAGAAGTGCAGCTTCTAGTCTCCACTGGCCTGCCTTCCGAACAAGAGGGACAATGTCTCCGACACAATCCGCAGTGCAGCATACTATAATCTAGTATACGATCATATAGCATAGTATAGTCTTACATTGCTCAGTACAAAAACAGTATGATATACCTCTATAACGTAGTATCTGTCCTTCTTGTAGACGAGGATCTTGCCTGGCCTCTGAGCATGCTACAGGTGGTGCATGCTCGGGCTCGATCGTTTTCTTTTTGTTTTTTTTCGGGCGGGGGGGGGGTGGTCGAAAGATGCTACTATAATATAAATATACTATCATGTAATATTGCATGCGAAAGTATCTAGGCAGGCATTCTTAACAACATGAATGACTGGGGGCAGTTTCTCCCAGACGAAGTTTGAAGTTGAATTCGAAACGTACAAGTCGTAAAGCCATCCACAGCTTTTACGGCCTACCCGCCTTTGGAAGTGAACGCATCTGGAGCTGTCATCGCTACCAAACCTTGAGAAGACTTCAAGAGCATGAACCCATGTTCACACACTGAGAATGGCATTCACTTTCCCAGGGCTTCCGCAGCGGCGAAGGACTTGCACCACCGACTGCCTGGAATGAGGAGGTTCTGCAAGCCTCACTACAGGCATGCAGCCGCTGCCTTTGCGCATCCATCTGCCACGAGCAGCACTGCTGCTCGCATTATATTCCAGCCATGGCGAATTTCACGATTGTCCCTGCTTGGGTCTTGCAACCGGGTTCTTTGCAGATGTATCAGACATTCATGAGCATCAGCTTGCTTGCAATCTTGCGCACACAGCCAGATGACCTGAACGCATCGACCTTTTGTTCTCTCTTCCAGCAAGACTCGGGCTGTGCAAGCAAGCCAAACAGAGGGCAAGCTTTGCTTGGACTTTGTCCGACTTATCCCTGACAGCTTCAGGCCGGAATGCTTGGCAAAGCACACTGCAATGGCTGGAGCTCGGGTGCAAAGGCGGTTAAAGAAGTGTCTAAAGCAGAAGTTGCATTGACAATGTAGCTTTGATCAGGGATTCCAGCTGCTAGGCATCTTTACAATCAGAGCAGATGCTGCTTGTTGGTGCACACAAGCAAGCTCGTGACAAACGCCTCGCTTGCTGGAAGAGAGATAACCATGCACTCCCTAAAGGTTTCTGACGTTGCAGAAGTCGGAAGGCTCTGTAGCCATGTCATTCGGAGGCCCCTTTACCCGGCCTTGCATGACAAAGAGCGAGGGGCAAGCCGCATGGCCTTACCCTCGAGTTAGGACGTGGCGAGCATTGAGTTGATCAGCTCAAGCCATTGTGAATTTGGAACCAGGCGCCGCCAGGCCGCCACCAGGCCGGCAGGGGTAATTCGCACAGTAAATCACAGTTTCATAGAGAAAAAAACGGCGTTGGGGCCTGGTGCCACCAGCACATCCCAGCATCCCACCCTGAAAAACAGGCTTGCGGTGTTTCTGGGCTTCCATGCAATCTGGTTAAAGCCATGCCCGTCTCCTGCGGGTACACTCAAAAATTCGAGACTCGGGTGGCGCTTGCACCCAGTCTCCACAAGTACTGCAAAGAGCAGTAGCACTGCAGTAGGCTTTACTACAAAAGATCTGTACACGCGGAAACATGAAAAGACTCAGCTGCGTGGAACTCAGGCAGGGGCCCGATGAAAATCGTTCGGCGCGGCGCGAGACCTCCAAAGTCGCCGCATCTAGCATACGAGAATATAGCATACTAGCTCATAGCACAAAGGTCCCTGTCGGAATCGACAATGCTGCTGTCAGCTATGCACATACCGAATACTTCAAATCTAGCAACGGCAGGAACACAGTTTTACGTCCGACTCACAAGCGAGACTCTTCAGCCGCTGATTTTACAACTGCCACTGCTTTCGCGCAGTGGGACCGGAATGACAGAAGCCAAGAGCAAGTTCGAAAGGAAACATAGCATAGATCGCACTGCAGATTGAGTTGGTGGTAGCCAGAGTGCAGGACATAAGCTTGTGAAATACCAATTACCAATCTGTAAGTGATTCATGCTTTCTGGAGAGACCGCGACAGCCGGATAGCAGCATCTTTAACTATTGTGCCCTGTTTGCATGGGTCGCAGACTTGCTCTCATCTGCCGGACACTGCTTGGGCCCTGCCCATGCAAAGCTTAGTGCCTCTCCTCATTGGATCCCCAAGAGCAGCACTTTGACACATGCCGTAGCGACACCACCGAGGCATGGTTTTGGTTAGGGTAACATTATAAGAGCTACTCGAAAAGGGGCACGCGAGTTTGGAGTCCGGAAGCCTCTTAGCCCTCCCTCCGTGGGCCTGACTAACCCCCGAGCTTTCCGAGAAGGGCTTTCGGAGCGTTTCAGTTTTTGGACCCGTACCAGGACCTCTCCTAGTAGCAACATGTTCGGAGTTCGGCACGCGGGAAAATCATTCCAAAAGCGTTCCAAAGCCAGGTCTGTTTCCGTAAAGCCTCGCAATCGTGGTTCCACTCGAGTCCGTGGGAGACTGTGGACACGCGTTGGCCATCTCTACGGCATCAAGTCTTTCGATGTTAGACTGGCCCCGGGAAAGCACAGCTGATTTGGATCACAAAAGTAGGACATCTGCATACCGCCCTCAAGCTTATGACGTTCTGCCTGTCAGCTGCTAATGCTTACCAGACACCAAACAAATACTGCGCTTGCCAGCTGCACACTCGCTCACATTCACGGGCCAAGCCTCTGTGCATCTGAACGAAACGATGAACCACCCTGCAGAAACGACAGTCAACTGTTGCTGCGCAGCTGCAGTGTCATATCACTGGAAAAAGCGGTAGTGCGGCCAAGCTACCATTGTTGAGACTCAGAGAGCCTGCGTGGGAACTGCCTCACATGGCAAGCTGAGAAACTTCATGGCCGGAGAACAGCCTCTCTGATTCCGGTCCTTTTTCCTGGCTTTGCCGCTGCAGTCATATTCTAGACGCTTACAATGGGCCGGTCAAATTGAATTCACAGCTACGAAAAGCCCAGCATGCTGAGCGACAGCAGGCTTGACACGGGCCTCCCCTGCCAGCTCGAAATGTTGAGTCCACAAGGATGTCCGAGGACGAATGCATTCGTCCCCGGTGGTGGAAACATGCGAGTTCCGTGTTCCTCTGCCATGTTGATGAGCACCACCTCAAATTCCTTCCAGCAAAGTAGCACTTGTTCTGAGATGCGTCCTTCATGTTCTCACACGGCGTCAGTTGAAGACCAGCCCTGCAAGGGACTTGAACAAACAAACCACACACAATTACGTCTCTTAAGATTTGCTTCTTGAGCCGAATGACTGACAAGCAAGTTTGAAAGATGCATGCTTGATTTCTTCCTGTGCCTGCGCAGAGCCATCTAGTCGCAGAATAGCAGCATCAAAGCCTTGATATCCAAAGCGGGAGCTTTGTCACCACGCATCATGTCCATGAACTCCTGGCGCAGACACGCCCGCTAAAAATCCTTCCCAGTCAACCCTATCAGGCAACCACAGGCACGTGGGCGCTAGTACTGACATATAGGACCGCGGTTGCTCATGCGGTCACGTTGCAAGCCCCTGATGCTGTGCTCGTCGGCTCAGGGCTTTCGAGCTTCGAGGGTGCAAGGAAGCATCTTGGCTTTGTGTTCCCGAATTCTGCCCGGCACAAGAAGGGTACGTAAACCCACACCGCAAATGGCTTCGGCCCGACGTGCAAGAGCATCGGGGAAAGGAAGCTGTGTGTGCATGCGGCCGGGCGTTGTGCTTGTGACGAGTGTTACCTGACGCACTGAGCTCGACGATGTGTGACGATTGGTCATATCAACCACATGTAGATTGCGGTACCATTTCTCGGAACTTGTCGGCCATCACTGGACGTCGTGTGTGCTCTGCATCTTTCAAGCTGTGCTTTGCTGCATCCCGCTGGCCAAGACGACTCTTAAGAAAGAACGAGAGAGAAAGAGAGTGAGAGCGAGAGTGAGAGAGAGAGTGAGAGAGAGAGTGGGAGACAGACTGA